CTGCAGCCCTGCTGGCAGTTTTCCACGTGACTAGGCTGCCTGCACTTATCAGCCCCTGCGTTTAATCACATCAGCCAGGACCTGAAAAGGCAAAAGATCCTGCAGAAAGCTCTGTCCTTACCTGCAGCTCAGGGACACAAGGCAGGGATGCGAGGGAGCCCTGTGTGCAGCCCCCCAGCCTTGAGAGGCAGCTGCTCTCCTCACCCCCCCCAGCACACCTGGCTGCCAGCAAGGTCTGGCTCGGCAGCATCTCCAAGCTGCTCAGGCAGCAGCTCACGGGGCCATCGCTGCCAAGGTTCCACAGGGCCACGTGGCAGCAGGTGGCGATTCCCGAGACCAGCCTGTCACTGGGGCTGCACTGCCCACGGGGCTGCGAGCGCTGTAGAGGCCCGAAGCCCTCTCTGCTGGGGTCCCCGCTCGCTGTCCTCCTGGTTTTGCCGTCTGCAGGAGGAAGGGCCGAACACTTTCTGTCCTGTCACTACCCAGCAGCACAGGGCAGAGGGTGGATGCTGCTCTCCTCGCCTGGACAACACTGTTTTGGGAGGGAGAGCGTGGTAAGGCAGGCGGCGTGCTGGGATGGACTCGCCTGCGTTCTCACATTAGCTTGAGCTGAAAACTCAGAGCTCCGTCCAAAGTACGCGCCTGGGCCACGCTGCAGCTCACGCAGGCACGGTGCACGGCACGGTGCATGTGTGCGGGCCGGGCGGGCGCGCCCCTGGGCCGGCTGCGGGGTCCCTGCCGGAGAGCGCGCCGCCTGGCAGCTGGGCACTGCCAGGAGTCCTGCCTAGAAAGGGAGATACCCTCCACCCAGCAGTGCCGCGTGGCAGGGAGCGTGCCAACTCCTCTCGGGGCCGCTGACCCCTTCCCCCCGTACTCACGGGGCTCGTGGATGCCCGGGTAGTCGCTGAACTCCAGCACGTAGAGGTGCCGGCCCTCGACGCTGCGGCCGATGCTGTAGATGCGGGTGACGTAGGGGCACTGGCTCTGCACGCGGAACAGGGCCTGCACCAGCTCCTCGTAGCGATGGTGGAGGAAGCTGAGGGCGGCCGCCCCCTCGAGCAGGAGCAGGGCTCCCACGAGGGGCCGCAGCCACCGCGCCATCCTCCCGCGGCGCCGGGCGCCCGGACCAGCTCCCAGCCTCGGCTCCCTCCCCGCCGGGAGCTTAAAGTGCAAACTCCAACCAGCTCTTTCCAGCTGCCGAGTGCCAGCCCCCTGCACCTGCGAGCGGGGGGCGGCGGGAGCGGGGCGCGCCGGGGCCCCGCGGCGCAGGAATGCTCCCCCCGCCCGCCCCGCCGGCCCCCGGCGAGCCCGCTCTCCTCCGGCGGAGAAGTTTCCCCCCGCTCCAGCTCACTTATTAACTGGACAGCAAACAGGGCCCCGCAGCCACTGGCTGTCACCGCAGAAGAAGCGCAGGGCTGGAAAACTGGCTGCGGAGGGCGTCGGGGCTGCCAAGCGCTCGGGGAGCGGCGGGCGGGGGAAAGGAGAGGAGAGGGGGCCGGCGGGCGGGGGGCTCTGCTGTGCCCGTCACCCTGCCGTGGGGCAGGAGCCCAGGGGGATGGGGATAGCGCCGGGGCGGCCGCGCTGCCCGCACGATCCCCGCAGCCCTGCCCGGCGCGGGCAGCTCCCTCCGCTCCTCCCCGCAGTCCGGACTCGGCTCCGCTCCGCGCCTCCTCTCCTGCCCCATCTCCTGGGGAAACGGAGGCACCGCCGCGGGTCAGTCGGCCCCTCTGCTCGGCCCTGCTCACCCGGCGGTCCCATTGCTCCCGGGATAAACAGAGGCAGGGACTGCATGGCCCTTGCCACAGCTGGCTGCCCGAACTGCCGAGCTGGGACGGTGCAGGGGGAGGGAAGAGCAGAGTGGGATGTAACGCAGGAGTTGTCTGCTGATCAGGAACCATCACGGAGAGCTCCGCTCGAACAGTCTGCTATCACCCCGCCCTGCTCTGGGAGGGGGCATGAGAAAGAGCTCTGACAGGTGCTGGGCAGGAGGACATTGCTTAACTGCATATAGACAAATGAAAATGCCCTGCTGTCTGCTAACAAAGGATTACAAACTGTTTCTGGATATAGGGGAAGCCGGTTCCTCTCCACCCCTCTGCCATGCTTATCCCAGTGGGCAGCAGCAGACACCTCATGGTCCCTGCTCTCTGCCCACTGCCAGAGGCAGCCTTGCTTTGCAGTCTTGCCCCACAAGGCTAAAACTCCAGCAGCCTAGTGGCTCTGACAGAGGTATTTACTAGGACAACCCCGACACAGAGACCAAACATGAACACAAACATCTGAAAAATTTACTATCATGGCTGGACAGGCCAAGAGAAAGGCCCCCTTGGGTAACATGAGGATGCTATTCTGCTATATCCAGGCCATGCTAGAGAGGAGCTCCTCGGGCCGCCAGTAATGGGCTGCCCGGGATAGTCAGTGCCATGCCAAACATTTGCTTTCCCTTCAGATCCCTTTGAGGTGGATCTGTGCTGCCTTGCTCTAATTTCTGTCAAGGCTTGCTTCACCCAGCAAAGCATTCTTTCCCAATGCTTTTGTACCTGTTCTCCACATCTGCTTGGGCTGCTGTCTTTCTACCTCAGTTTCCAGGAAGACCATTGGTAAAACTAAGGAGTCCCTGTTTATAGCCTCTAGCTGCTGTTGATAGCCTCTGGTGCAGACAGTACAGGCTGGTGGTCAAGGCACATGGATAGCCTGCTTATGACTTGGCTTACTCAGACTTTCCCATATTCAACATTTTTCTGCCCCAGCACCATCATAGTGATAATTTCTCTTCTTGATCCTCTGCTTTCCTGGTCTTCTGCCCCTCTTAACCCCTGTTTTTGAAAAAATACCCTTTTGAAGACATGAAGAGAAAAAGGAAAATATTAAACATACATAGAGATAGCAGTAACCATATTAATACTTTCTCCCAGGTAAGCCCCATCCCCCCATCCCTGCTTGTCAGCCAGTCTGAAAGCACCACACGTTCAGGAGCAGGAATGGCATTGCACCCATCTGTGGCTAGCTAACAAGAGTCAGTGCTGGAGGCGTTAGCTTCTCCCAGCACATGCCAGAAACCAAGGTAAAGTAGCTGAAGCTGTGGCATGGAGAGCATGGGTATGGTAGGACAGTTCTTGTCTCTGCAGCAAGACATGTCTGGTGGTATTTTGCAAAGCTGGCAGCCCACAACAGCAGTGGGAAATGCCTTCACCTCCTTCACATCCCTGCTCCCAGGGCTGCTGGGTTCCCGTGGAGCTGCTCTTTCCCCAGGCTTCAGCAATGAAGGCCATGTGAAAGAGTCATGGGCAGGCTTCCAGCACTACCCAGTGTTACTTGGCAGCCAGAGAGTGCTAGGCAGGGCTATAGTAAAATAGTGCAAGCCCCATGTTTGGCCAGTTTCACCCTCCCCTTTCCCTTCCTAGGCTGCTTTCAGTAGCCTGGGACAGTAGTGGCAGAGTTGGAACTGCAGTGCTGCCAAGGGACACATGAGGAAAACTCTCACTTTCCTATGGAGGCAAGCAACACTGATATGAGAAACAACAGTAAAAAAAGAAATGCCAGAGCATTAGAGCCTAAAAAGGAGCCATGGGCAAAATCTCATGTGAGTGGAGAACACATCTCACACACTACTAGGTCTGGAGAGTTGGTTAGTGTTATCCATAGCACAGGGATGGAGGCAGCCTGTCATCAGGCAGCAGGCTTAAAGCATACAAAAGGAAAGAGTTTTGCACAAAAGACACCCTGAAATTACATCATCAAAACTGAAAGTTAAATGAGTGCAAAAGAGGATAAGATGAATTCATAGAGAACAGAGTCAGAGTTATCAGATTTTGAGGTAATCATTTGATCACAAATTTCCTAAGCCCCTGATGCGTAGAAGAAAAGGATTGTGCTGTTTCCCTAACTATCCCTCTAAATCCTTGCTCACCACACAGCTGGAGACGAGTGCCAATGCCCTGCCTATTTGATCTGACCTAGCATGGCTTTACATATTCTAGGAAAATGACAATAATAAATTTTGACATATTTGAAAACACCGATGAAAGCAGAAGCAAACAATAGATGACATTAGGACTTAGAAACAGTGAAGGAAGTAAATAAAAACTTCAGTTGGAAAATACGGCTGATACATCTGGGATGGATCATACACTCCCCCACCCCCCACCCAGATGTTCAAAAATGGAGAGACCTTGAGGCAGTGGGAGAAAGAAGGGAGAGGGAATGCTCTGTGCCACTGAGGTGAGAGTGAGAGGAATGTGAATGCAAGGCCTGTCTCCCCACCCTTGCATTGCTGGTGGGCACAGGCAGCAAGGAGCTGATTCTGCTGGAACTGACTGTGGAAAGACTGCATCTGCTGGGTTCACTTTAGTTCTGGCCATATTGTTAACAGAGGAAGATTGGAAAATTTGAGGAAAGTTCAAGCTAATAGCCATAAGAATGAGCAAACTGTGGGGAGTTCTTGCTGAAAGAAAAAAAAAACAACTGTGACAAGCATTGTTTGCCTTGGCAGAGCTGTGGCTGTGGCTGCACAGGGACACACGCAGCCCTGTGAGCAAGGGGCACAGGGCAAGGCCCACTGTCCTTCACCTGTTAGGGGGGTGGAAAGGTGGGCTGCAGTGCCAGCACGATGCCAGGGGGCTGCCTGCAGGAGGGAGAGGGAAAATGAGAACAGAGGACTGCTTCTGTCCAGTTCACTGCTTGGGAGAACAAACTGCTTTGAGGAGGTCAGGATGAAGCTAAGGCAAAGAAAGATGTGGTTTGGGCAGTAGCAGCCTTCCCAGGAGTGAGGCAACCTATGTGAGGTGCCCAGAGCCTGGGAAAGACCACAGTGCATTTCTCTACCAGGAGGGGATGCTACCCATCCACTGGGACCTTCAGAGCTGACCTAGGAGAGCATCAGGGAACTGGCAAGAGAGGAAATCACATCTCAGGACTTTTCCATGTTTAGTGCCAGAAGCTCCATTCCACTACTGGCAAACTCCCATCTTCTGGAAAACAGCATGAAAACTTTTCTGGCGTCAGTTCAGAAGTCTTTATTATGATAAGCATACAGAGGCTTGTGTGTGCATCAAAACAAAGATCCATTTCTTCAGGGTTGGGCCACAGAAAGAAAACACATGGCCTGGGTGGCAGGGACTACTGTCCTCAGTGTGCTCTCCCCAGTCCCTCCTGAACAGGCTCTTGAGCCTGCGTCAAAGCTGCCAGCCCTGCAGAGCCTGCACATCCTGCCTGGCACAGAGCACGGGAAGAATTGGGGTGGAGAATGAAGGGGCACACATCCGGCCCAGAACTGCTCTGGGAGAAACTGGAAAGCCCTGGCCAGTGCCAACACTTCAAATCAGCCTTCCAGTGCAGAGGTGATGGCCCCACTTCTGAGAGCTTTCTTCCAAGTGGAGGCCCCGCTGTGCTTTGCTGTAGGGCTGGAGGAATCTGCTGTAGCCTGTGCACAGAGGAGAAGCAACTTTATCTAAGGTACTTAGAGCCTGTGGTGGGGAGCAGTTTTCCTGCAAGAGGTGAGGGTGCTGCAGATACCTGGGCTCTCTCTTCTGACAAGTTCCAATAGCTTTGCCCCACATTTGACACTCAGCTGAACATGGCAGGGCTCACAGAGGTCATCAGTCCCAGCGAGACCAGGCTGCTCTTGCACCCTGCAAAGCTATCAACTCCCTCTGCAAGGAACCTCCCCAAAAATGGACCAATCAACATTTGAACCCAAACCAGAGATGCTCATCCCACCTTGCTGCAGCACATCTGAGCTTCCTGGGAGCCCAGGAGAGCTCTCTCTTCAGGAGAGACCAAGGTCTGGAGTCTTGGCAGCACAGAGCTGAATAGTGAGTAAATACGTGATAGACAGAACATGTGATGTTAAAAGATGCTTTACCCAGGAAAATTAAAATGGTAAAGCAGGAAGTGTCTAGAAATTAAAGCCAGAAGCTATCAAATTAGAAATAAGGCACAGATAATTATCACTGAGGCAGATCAACTGTATTAACATGAGAAATGGTACGTTATTACTGGCATATTGGAAACTCCCTCCACTATCATTAATGGTCTTCATGTACATGTTGGGTGGCTCTGGAACACACATTTGAGTTGAATACAGCTAGATCAGATGCAACACAGAAGCAAAAAAATGAATGTTCATAAACTTGAGCTCTTTGACCAAAGATTTTGAGTAGCCTCCATGAATAAAGTCCTGCAATAACAGAAGAAATATAGAGAAAACAATCATAGGCAGTTCTGTGAATGTTCACTACCAGGGAGTGACATGCAATGGTCTTGCCCTGACACGATGCCTTCAGTCAATCAATTCCTGAAGCCTCAGGCTGCTCAACTGGCATGTTGTCACCTCAGAAGTTCTTATCCTGGAGAGACTGATTTATGAATGGGGTCTAAAAGTCATAAGGTTTAAAGGTTTAAAGGTTTAAATTTTGCATTTATCTTAGTTTGGGCCCTTTTGGTTGCACTCAAGTCATGTTTAAAGCTTAAAAAACCCCAAAACTCAAACCAAAAAGTGAGATAATTAAGACAGCAGGAGCAAGTGAAGATGTCAGCTGCTCATCTGGCTCCAGAATCAGGAGCTAACAGTATTAATACTATGGGACTTGCAATGAAGATACAAAACATTGTAAAAGCTCTTCTCCCAGATATTTGACATTTTCCTTTAACATAAATCCTTAGCAGGGACAAGAAGACCAGACTGGAACAAGCTTTCTTTCCACACCAACTTCCACATGAAGTTTTTGCATCAATTTCTGACATGTCCTAATGGATCTGCCAGTTCTCATCACGGACACAACTGAGCAGCTGCCAGATCCCCAAGGAGGTCTCAGGAGAGGTAGTGCCACCCTGCAGGTTTCCATGCTGTTCCCGGGAAGGACGGATGCACCAGCTCACCTGGGGAGCTTCTCCATGGCTCTGCTCTGCTACAAGGGCTCCATATGCAAGGAAGGTGGCATGTGATGGGCTGTGCTGCAGATGAGGCTGTCTGGGCAGCAGAAGCAGCTCTGATCACACGTTTCTCCTGAATGCCTTCCAGCCAAAACCTGCTGCTCATCTCTCATCTACCTGTCTTTGCTGCAAACAGCAGAAGGGAGGCTGCATCCCTAGCTGAATTCCGACATCGCAGAGTATTTGCAGAGAAACAAAAACTGGTCAGCGGACTCACTGCTGGTGAAAGGTCATTTGCAGATCGAACTGGATAATCTGCTTGGGGCAATATTCTTTGAATAATATGTGTTTCAGTGGAGCCACACAGAAGGAAAAATGGCTCATATTGAGAGACAGTGATGTAGGATGTGAGACGGAGGCTGTTCTGAAACATCATGGCTGGGAAAAAAGACCAAGTTGCAACAGTCCAGCTGGACTCAAAAGCCTAGAAACTTTCTGTTAAGTGAACAGACCTGGACCAGAGATATATGAATGGATAACATAAGGCATAGATCAAAACCAGATATGTACACTATTAGTGACTCAACTACCTGCTGAAAACTTTGGTGTCCAAGTTTCAGAAAGATGTACAACTTTTAAAAGAAGTGGAGTCGAGAGCTGCAAGTGAGGTCAGCAGAGACCACTTTACAGATTGAAAACCAGTCTATTTTAATATGATATAATGACAACTTGCAAGCACCACCGAAGAAAAAGGGATTTTAATAGCAGAGTTACTCAGTCTTTTGGAAATGGGCAGAACAAGATCCAACAGAAGTTGAAGCCACCTAATTCAGAGCAAAAATAAGACACAGGTTTTTGGAAGAACAATGATCTGCCCAAAGACCTTAGGACAGGGTAGATTTTTCCCTTACCTTTAGGTCCTTCAATATATTAGGACTTCTACTTCCAGGCATGTAGTAGAAATAACTGGGTGACATTTTCCGGCCTGGACTATGCCGAGGGACAGAGTGGGAGAGCTCTGTGTCTGTGCTTGCCTGAAGGAGAAGGCATTGCTGGGGTTGCACATCCTGACCCCTCCACACTGCCTGCACCTCTGCTTGGGGAAGGAGGTGTGTCTTTGCTATGCCTTCCTCTCTGCAATATCTGCTTTCTTCTTGCCTCCGCAAGGGCATTAGGAGAAGAGATTTCTGAGATTTTGTGGGAGGTAGACAGGCACCAGTGGTTTCTGAGTGTTTCTTAAAAAATGGATTTCTGACTTACCTCTCTTTTTTTTGGACCAAGAAATGGAAAAATGGAAGAAAGTGATTCATAAACTAAATCAGTGGCATCGTCCTAGTTGTGTGGGCTGCAGTATGTGCACTCACAAGCCCTGGGTCTTGTGGCCATAGGAAAAGCCTGTGCTATGAGGAAAGGAAAGGCAAATCTTCACTAATTTTGCTGGTGGAAAGAGTGGTTCTATCTGTGCATTCTCATGCTGGTTAACTACTGCCAGCTGCCTACAGGAACATTAACTAATAAACACTTTCCCTAGATTGGAGGGTGCTGTGTTATCAGCACAGTGACCCTGGATTGCTTTAGTGGGTTATACCTGAGGGCACACTGATCACACCAGAGTCCCTGCAGGCACAGACAATCACTACTGGCCAAGGAACCTGGGCCAATACAAGCTCTTCCTACAAAAAGCAGCAATGCCTGGTTGGGAACTTGTGGCTTGATGTACCTTAGGGACACGGGAATGGCTCATTGCAACAGTGAGCCAGCTTTGGTCCAGCAACAACAACAGGAAGACGTGGGGAAAAGGCATTTTGCCACCTGCAAAAGGAGCTGACAGCAGACAGAGCCCAGCTAAGGGCTGACGACCACAAGCATGCTCGGTTTCTTCATCCTCATCCCTTCTTTTCCCAGAGTGGCATTTGGGAGCCTGACCCACCTTCAGGGGCCAGCCAGGCGCAAGAGCTGTACCCAGCTGTAGGGCTGCTAGAGCTCAGGGTGCAGGGAGGTGAGCAGAGGCATGCTGGTGCAGAAAGGGCTCTTGGGAACAGCTTCAGCAGAGAAGCAGCAGGATCACCCTGTATGTGACAGCTCCCAAGAGCTCAGTGGGATGTGTGACCCTGAGATAACCCTTGCAGGAGCACTGGCTCCCAAAGATTGCTCCCACTTTTCTCTTTACAATGCTGTGCACAAGGCAGAAACCAACAAGCAGCAAAGTTTCCTTGAATGAAAGTACAACCCACTCAAGGAGGGGACACGAGCTTGTCTGTCCTTGGCAGAGAAGGTGGCGAGCCTGATGTCCCAACATCTGTCAGTGCAAGTGTGATTCAGAAGAAATAAATGCCCTTGTTGTACAGTCAGAAGCTTCGGTAAGAGGGACTGTGCAGTACAGCCTGCTCTGCTGGGGTCTCCTAGCCCTGAGCAGCCAGGATGACATGGCTCCTCTCGCCTTCAGGTTCTTCCTAAACAATCCCCTTCTGCAGGCACTTGGGCTTGTGGAAGAGAAGCCAGGCAAACAGGAGCACAGACACCAGCACAAGGGAGCACAGCACCATCAGCCCCACGTAGCTGCCGTGGGAGAGAGGGGGCCCGGCTGGCTCCTCTGCAGGGATCATGTTGGTCAGGTTCAGCATGTAGCCCAGGGTCCAACCTGCATCACTGCTGCCAATCTGAAACAGAAGAGCAGAATCAGTGCTGGGAGGCTGCCTAGGGCATTGCCTGAACAGTGGCAGAGGCTGCAGAGAACTGCTGGGGTAGAGCCCTCCCCACCATGAAACAGACCTTTCCAAGGAAGTGGATCATTTGCCAGTTGTCTGCAGTGAACTCATAGCCATTTTCCAGGAGAGAGAGGATGTAGGCTCCAGAGAAGCAATATTCACTCAGGTACTTTTCTTTGACGTGGTGATATTCTGTCTTCACCTAGGGAAGGAGGCAATCACCAGACTGTTAAACACACCTTCCCACTGCTCCAGCTTGTGCCTGAGCATCCACCGCAGGTGCTGGGGGGATCTTCCCCATCTTGCTCTGGAAATTAATCCCAGCCATTTATCCCACAGAAAAGTATCAGCAGCCCCAGTCTACGGCAACAAGCATGGCTCACCTCTTGCCAAGGCCGGGCACAGAAGCTCTCAATGGTGCTGGTCACTTTGTTCAGGGCAAAGGGGTTTGGCTCACTGGTCAGGTTCAAAAAGTTCATCACAAAATAGAAAGCAGAAAAAGCCTGAAGGAGAAAGATTCTTTTAATCTGACTAAGCCACAAATCCCACAAAAGAAAATGAGTTTGTTTATAGATAAAGAAATATAAGAAGCAACATCACACACACAAGAGCAGGAATGTTTTCAAGAGTGATGTCATTTTGAGGGATACAGCTCAGAGCTGCTGCCAGATGGAGGTAGGAATTATGATATCCTAAAGAACTTCTGTGAGCTCTCTCCTTTATGTGTGCCAGTGGCATACAGTGAATGCTGATTGCCGTCACAACCATGACCCCATTTTGGCAACTGAGTGAGATGAGTCGCAACCAGTATCACCACAAAGAGCAGAGGTGATGGTCTGAAAGGATTGTACAGAGCCCCATCATATAATCCAAGGTCCAGAAACCCCATCTCTGACCATGGCCAGTAGCTGACAGGTAGGAGGCAGCTTAGGAACAGGGCAAGATTGTATTAGAGTTCCCTGGAAAGCCTCACAATCACTGAGCAGCTTTTTGCAGCTCTAGGACTGATGGTTAGCATGGTGTCACACATAATGTTTGTTCAGAGTGTGCACTGTCTCCTCATCACGTCTGGGAGACAGATAGGTGAGCTGACTGCTTTCACTGGTAGCACTCAGACACTGCTGGGTGAATTTCAGGTCTGGTGGCACCACTGACCTCAGGAGACAATGTTTGCAGGAGCAGTGTTCCTGCCTGCAGCAGGCTCTCCTGCCTTGGTGCTAGACAGCTTAAAAAGTGAGGAAACACAGCAGCCCAAGGAGATGGGTTAGAATGGGAGCAGTGCAGTGCTGGTAGGCCAGTATTTACTGGGGTAGCTCTTAACATGTCTGTCCTCACAGCAAGTGCAGCACTGCTTTCGTAGTTACATGTCCAAAAAGCCATCTTGAAAATTATTTCCTGCCTCAGTCATGAAGAATGCGCTCTAGCATTACTCTGAGTTTCTGCTCTTCTGACATTCTGGATCACAGATAGTTGAAGAATGAGTGAAGACTCACCCCAAAATCCCCTTGTAATGGAGGTAGGTATATCCCATTGAAGGAGCAAGTGGAGTAAGGACAATTGCTTTTGTTGAAGAGTTCCTTGATGTTTTCTCGGCACTTCTGATAGTCCCCCTCTCCCTTTATGTACAGCTGGCTGAAAGGCAATTGCTTTTTCTTGTCTGATGTGCAAGGGTTTTTGAAGAAGTCACTAATATTTATAGTCCTCTCATAACCCTTGTGAAAGCATGGGTCAGGTAGACTGCTGTTCTCCACGGTCTGAAAGTAAAAACCAATCCAAACTGTTACACTTTGCTCTAGAATAACACCCTGGGAAAAAGCCACAAGGAAGGGTGGCACTTGTCCCAGTACATCAGATCCAGGTGCACACATCAGGTCAAAGGGATAAGGATGGATTAAGGCACTAGCTGTACAGGGGAAGATGTGGGTATTGCCACAGCCTCCCTGTAGGACCCTGGGCAAATTATTTTAAGTCACAGTTTGTGAAGCTGTGCTGTTGATTTGGGTTTCTCAGAGATGGCAAAATGTCACCTCCCCTGAGTACTTCAGTTAAATGCAGTTCTCTTGCTACCCCATTCCCAAGAATCAAGGCATCTCAAATTGGTAGTTTGTATGGAGAACAATGATATTTCCCTAATCCAGACTAAGAGGTGAGCTGGGATGCAGCAACTTTTACAGCACCAGTATCCCAAAGCTGGGAGAGTCCAGGATTGTTCAATTACAGATGTAGATGTACTTGCCTGTAGATCCCTGGCCAGTTTCTGCTGCAGAGCCTGGTCCTTCCCATAGCAGAGAAAGCTGTGCGTGTACACTTGGTAATCCTTGCCGTAGAGACGGAAGTAGAGCTGGTTCTCTGGGGACTCAGAAGTGAGGTCCTTTGATACAAAGGTAATCTGTGTGGAGGCTCCTCCAAGGTCTAGTGCTCCTGATGTCTCACTTAAGGATTTCAGGGAGTGCAGAAGCTTTTTCCAGCCAGACTTGGAAAAAAAATCAAAGTAAACCAGATATATTTGGCATGGAGAAGATTTATTTTGGAGAAATAAATAAGAGAAAGAACTATGAGGAGAGAAGCAGAAGCACAGAACACAGGAAACATGGGAAGTCCTGGAGGGGGCATGAGATGAGAGCTGGAACAAGACATAAGAAAGAGGCAAGCTTGTAAATACAGAAAATGGATCATGTCCAAGTGTTTGCAGGAGGGCAAAGAATATGAAATCTAATACTACTGTTATGAGAAAAACCAGTCCACTTACTGTTTCAGCTCTCAGAAGATTTATAAGCTCAACAGGAAAGAACCATAGTCAAACTTTTCAGAAACAGAAATATTTTAGATCAGAAAATGAAGAGGATGCTGTACCCAAGCAAAATTATTGAAGATGCTGGTGTTTTATTTCAGTGCTTGACGCCAATTTATAGTGGTGCATCCTGATAACACTAAGTATCAGGATGTACTCACAGCAACTGCTGAGGCAAGATGTGCAGCTTCCTGATCCCTGGTAAATGGCTTACAAGGGAAGAGAGTGCCTGTGACACCTTCTTGCAAGGCAGGACTTACAAAGTGCTGCAAACCAATAATTCAAATGTCTTGCTATAGATAAACTACCTGCTTGAAATTGCCCAGAAGGTAGTTAATGGTGATCCATCCATAGGCTCCTTCTTCCTGACCAGTGATGATCCTGGCACCCTGGAAGTTGAAGGGAGCTGAGCGTAGTGTGTTTCCTACAGAGGACAAGACTTTGTCCGCTGCGCTTTCATTCTGCAACCTGGATGAACAGAAGAAAGGATGGAGTAACTCTGGCTGACAGCTCTCTATGTGCTTTATTCTGAGCAGGCAGGCTGCAACTCCCCACCAATCAGAGGTTGGTCATTCAGCTCTGACTGGCCATGGTCCTCTCTGTCATACCTTGACAGCATAGCAGCCACCAACTCTGATGCTTACAGACCCTGCAGCTGGGAGTGGTAGGTACTTGGAGCAGAGACCAGAGCTCTTGTTCTATAGCATGTATTGTGACAGGAATTGCACTGTGGAGACTCCCCTTTACTGTCACCATTAGAGAAGAAATCCAGAAGATATCCCCAGGAAGATTTCCCAGGCAATATATACCAAAGATCAGTTCCCTGTCCTAGCCAGGAGAGGTCTGGGTCACCCTCCTGAAAATCACAAATTTTTAAAGGAGGTTGTGATTATAGAATTACCTTAGCCTCTGATGGCCCTCTGTGGGGTGCAGCAACATATTTGGGCTCAATAATCTGAGCCTAATACCAGAGTGTGGGGATGTCAGGGCATCAGCTTGGGCACTGCTGATCTCCCGGTGTCTCTGTGCTGCATGTGGATGCAGGAGATGATGGAGGGTTGGAGTGAGTGGGGAAGCAATGGAGAAGTCCAGGGGACTTGGGGCTCAGAGAGGGCAGCAGCAGAGGAGGCCATCTGGGCACGGTGTGAGCTGGCAGTGTGTCCAAGGACTGTCCCCCAGAGGCCCCCACTGCACATCCATGGTGGTCCCAGGTGCAGTGCTGCAGGAGAAGGGGACAAGCCCTGCAGTACCTGAGAAGCCGCATGCCAGCAGTTGCTCCGAGGTAGACGGGTGTCTCTTTGTGCTGTGCTGAGGGAATCACCTCTTTTGCTTGTTGTAGGCACTGTGCCAGAGAGGGGCCTGCCTTCTCTGTGGCATGGGAGTAACCTGAGATCCCAGGGCCTGTAAGAAGTTTATAGTTTATAGTTCAGACTCCAAGCATAGCCCCAGAATGCTGTCATGAGCAGGTGTGTCAAACCGTATCACAGGCAGCAGAATCAGATTCAACCACCCCATTTCTGAGGAGCTTTAGAAATCCTACAGCACCACCAGCTAAGCCCAATCCACGTAGTGGGTGGTCACAGTGCCCAGCATCTCCCACCCTTTCTCTGCAAAGCAGGCTATGAACTAGCAATGAGGGCTGAGCCAAGCCATTTCTTTAGCATGCCCTGAACATCTGCAGTCTCTTCTATGAGTCTGCCTGGGTGTACCCTGGATCTGTGCCTGAATATCCCTGACCCTTCCATGCTGGCTCCTCTGGGGGCAGATGCTGTCATTTGTTTGTGTACTTTCTGCTCACACTACAACACTGGGTGTTCTGCAGCTATTGTGTCTCATGCTAACCCAAGGAAAAAATCATTGTCCCTCTCTGCCATGTGTCCCCTGGTTCTGCCCCAGGACCAGTGCCTGCATGGCAGCAGTGAAGCCCCATTTGCTGTATGCTCAGTGTGCTGCTCATGACGTGGGATGCTGCAGCACTGAGCAGCTATCACAGCAGCTTGATAGCAGTAGGGCTCTCTCCTGCACTGCAGAGGCCTGAAAAGATCCCAGGCAGGTCTGACAACATCTCAGAATGCAGCGATCCATGATGGTCTGTGCTGTTCCTTGTTGTGTGCACCCCTGGGCTTCATTTATGCCTTCCTAAACCATACAGTATCTACACAGCAATTAAATAGAATTAAAAAAGCACCATGACATGCATAAGTTGAGCAACCTTGAGCCACAAGCCTTGTACAAAAGCCACACACTTGCACAGAAGCCTTGAAAAAGAGCAAACCATGCTCTCCCCTCTCATTGCTTTCATCAGCACTTTAGCAAGAGTGCATGCAGATATTTTATTTATTTAAGTACATTCTTTGGTGTAGTTCTTTCCAAAAAGCAATTAATCCCAAGCATCCTGAAAACAAAGGAAAAAGTGGATGCATTTTTTCCCCAGGAAGGTCAGGCACAAACAGCTCCCCATGGGAACCATTGAGAAGCATTATCTCACAGGTGTAATGCTGTTTCTACTATTGACCTCTTCCTCTAGATTTCTCCTCCCTCACCCTTTTATTACATTATCTCTTCTTCATCCCACGCCCCTTCCCCAGATCCTTTTTCTCCTCTTACCTTCAACTTTACACACCTCCACCTGCTTCACCACCCCGGTGTCGTTCTCCTTCTCTGCTGGCCACTCGTACACGTAGAGGTTGGTGTGGGACGATCCCGCATCCAGCACGATCCCATACTGTGGGCAAAGCAGAGCCCACGTCACACCTGAGGCACTGTGTGCTGGCCTCCCCTGGGGCACCAGGCACACACAGCCCCTCTGTCTGGCAGCTGTGGGACTGTGTGTGCCATTGCTCCTCTCAGCAGAGCTTCAGTGCAAAGCTCCCGGCGAAGGAAACAGGAGCAGAGAGACCGCGAAGCTGGGACTGGTGACTTAAGGGATGATTCCCTGTGAAGCTGTGACTGGTTTTCCCACAAAGATGTGAACCAAGATGTTGAGGTGCATGGAGCCAGAAAAAGAGGTTAGCCAGAGCCAGCAAGGGCAGCAACATGTCCATGAGCACTATGGACACCTAACCCCCCAGCTTGTTTTCCTCTAAGGGTACCAGCTTGTAATACCTTAATATTCTTGTATACCTTAATATTCTTCGGAAGTGGCTGGTTTTGGGTCACTGCTACAGCAATTAAAGCAATTACAGCCAAAGTGGAGAGGAATCCCAGGATGACTAGAATCGTTCTTGTTGAGGACATCTTTGGTTTGGTACCTGTGACTAGAGCAGAAAAAGGATGTTAGTATCCCAGTAGCCCATCTTTCCTCACACCCCAAAGGCATGTCTTTTGGCATGTTCCTCTAGTCCTTTTTCCTATGAATATCTGCCTTTGCCTACCAGGTTGTGAATGGCCTGTGTTTGCAGAATTGGCACAGTATGATAAATCACACACTGTGCAGAACTTGTACCACTCTAATTCCTTAAATGTTACAGGCATATTTGGGATAACCTAACAAATTACGATTTTTGTGGTTTACTATACATGGTTAGCAGTAGAATTCTGTAAAAAAGGCCACTTATGGCTGATGAAAATCATTCACGACCAATATGTCATCTGAGCTTTCAGAACCAATATACATATAGTTGCACTTGTTAGTGGCCACCATGATGCTGTCTTTCACATTTTTCTGCTTTGGATAATCCTTCATGCATCCCACAGTCAAAACCTCATTTCACAACTTACACTTGGCCGGTGTTGCAACTGTTTAATAAAATACCATCTTCCTACATGGAGCTCTAGAAAGGGTATCAGCATAATTTCCAGATTTATAATATTTGATGTAAAGTCAGCATATAAACAAATAACTCCATAGGACATATGTGCTCCCACTATGACATGAAATCCATTTCTACCAACAGTGATGCTTCATACTCAAAAGCACTGACCAACTGACTTGCATGGGAAATTGTTTCTCTTCTCCTTTTACACAAACATCCGGGAGATGTTTAGAAGTACATTACAGTCATTCAGGATGGCAATACCTCAGTGCAGGCAACCACATCAACTGTTGTCATGCTCTGAGAGAACCTGCTCTGCACTTGTATGCCAGAACTTGGGTTCCAGAGGTCTCCAGACCTCCAGACACAGATTAATGCTCCAAATCCATCCTGGCACTTCATATCATGCATGGAATTATGAAAAGCATTCAAGTTCTGAACAGGGTCAGCTTCTAACTGCTCTGGTTTTATGTGAGAGGCAGTCTCAGGTTCCAGAACTGCTCTTACAAATGACCCTAAATCCTCAAGTTGTTCTCAGAAGTTAGCCCAAGTGAAAAGAAGCAACACACCTCTGGAAATCTCTAACTATAGACAAATACCAGCTTTTTACCTTAGAGCAAATGGAACCTAAAAGTGCCAGTGGAGCTCATTTTGAAGACAGGCCCATTGGGAATGTAACATTGGTGCACTGGGAATGCCTGGAGCTCTGTGCTCTCTCTGTGTAAATCTGCTGAGGTTAACTGTGAAATTTGGAAGCTTGTAACGCTTGCATGTTGTGAGTGCCTATCTGAGGGCCAGCATGCTTGCCAATATCTCTAAGAATGCAGCTTAAAAAAATAACCTAGTGCACATACCAGAGAGTAGGAAGTAAGAATGCATTTTATCCAACTCTATTCAAAAACGCCCAGAACTCAGGGCTTGAAGTGATTAGAAACAGCAGAGCATGACAGCTGGGAGACCTTCCTTCTCATTGGAGAGAGTAGTTGGCTCAGGTTATGGTAGCACTGAGCATGTCTGTTGAACAAAAATTATTTTAACCCTAGAAAAACGAATTAAAACAGATGCTATAATTAAAATTAGCTGCACAGTATAGATATGAAGTTAGCATGCCTGAAAACTGAATCTGCTGCTGACAGTTACACAGCACATCCACAAAATTGTTCCTCTGAGATCTTGCTCAGAGGCAACCATGAACGAATTTGTTAGGTATTTTCAGTCATAGGAATGAAGGATATGTGACTTTGCACAAGTTCTAAGATTTTCAGATTTCCTGTTGTGATGGGTATTGTCAGACTGCTGTATCTTTGCAGCTCTGAAAGTGCCAGCACTGGCAGCAAAGCAGGAGCATTGTTCTCACTGTAATGGACCATCCCAATTATGAACTAGAAATCCCTTTTCTGAAGGCAGAGACATAATGATAATTGTCTGCATCCCATCTGTGGCCTGAGATCAGTACTTTTTTTGCCAAGGCACATTCTTTTCTTAACTCTGAATATGACTTTTGCCTGAATTTTAGTTCAGGATCATGAGCACTTTTCAGGACTCTGGGGTTTGTAGATAGGTGACTGACTTCATTGCTGTATCCCATACCCCACCATCCATCTCTGTGAACTCAAATGCTACCAAGAAGCATTTCATTGAAATGTTTTATACAAGAAAAGGTACAAGGTGATAAGCATAATCCAGAAGGTAGTGTAACAAAGTAATAACCTTCCAAAACCTTCCAAAGAGCACTGAAAGTGTACAGACTTGAATACTTGACAGACTTGTTTAAAAAAAGACAAACTTACTTTAAAAAAAAAAAAAACAAAAAAAAAAAACAAACCAACACTGCAAATCTATCTAAAAAATTCAATGTAGTTAAAATTCACTTGCTGTTCAGAAAGGTGAGGTATTTCAATAAATTCCCTTTTCTGTGCACTTGGTTACCTCCATCAGCTCTAGGTGTAATTGCAGGTTCTGCAGGGGCTAAACAATTAAGCTATTGCAGCTTCCTCCAGCTCCTCAGAGTTCCACATTCTCACTGCTGAATGCCATGCAAACACTCCCTCTGTGTCCACCAAGTGGAGCAGTACTTGACTGATTGCCAGGCCCCAGGGTTTTCCTTCCACTAGCAGTTTTCCTCAGCTAGAGATTAGGCAGACACGATCTTCTGTCCCTGTGCCCAGTCAGAATCCAAGCAGAGACAGATCTCTACTCTTTCTCTTACACTGCCCACTGTGTGCAGTGACTAAAACATCCCAAAGGGCCATAAGCAGGCATAGAAATGATGCTGCTTTTCTCCTCTCAGAGCTCAGAGCTGCTTGATGCTGGAGCCCTGCCCAGCTGCACGGGCATCGAGCACTCTCCAGATGCTGGAGCACAGCCCAGCTGCTCAGGCATCTCTGTCTGTTTCCAATTTTGGTCTCTTTGCTTTTTTGTAGGGGCTACCACTGGTTCCATACAGCGATGGCCCTAAAACATGAACAGATCTAACATCCTTTCTGTCTCCAAGACAGAGAACTGGGAGGATGTTGTCAGTCACTCCAGGTGGCAGCAATTTTGCTGTGGAAACCCTGTTGCTCCTAGTGAATAACCAGGAAGGACCACACCAGCGTGGGAGGCAGCTCTGTGTGAAGGCAAGGAAGCAGATTTGACTCTTGTGTCTTCCAGAGCTCAAGACAAATAGGAAATGGCCCCTCCAGCCAAACTAGACTAAATCAACAGCACCTCTGCATGTCAGGAGATGTCACTTACAGCCCAGCCAAGGCTGCTCACCCTCAATTCCCTTCTCACCAAACAAGACTTACTAACATAAGTTAAAAGGAATCAGGCAACCAGCTGCTTTTAGACATGCAATAAGCAGAGACTAAGGCTTGTTTAAGGAGTGACATTAGGAATGTCAAGCAGAAAAGATGCTGAACATAGACCAAAGCCATGCTTGGTTCTCACTGTGACCCATCATCTCTAATAAATACAAATGTTTTTGTAAGCTCTGACTTCGCACAACAGATAAAGCTGATGTTTGATTTTCATTTGGATGTTCATGCTCAGTCTATTAGAGGAGGGATCACAAGAAGTTGTACTGCAAGGCCGTCCCTCTTCCACTGCACAAGTGCCACACTGACAGAGACAGTTCCCACCATCACCTTTATCCTCTCAGCACTCCTCTCTGTGGTCAGAAATGTTCCCATTTTCAGCCTTACTTTATTTATTGTCAGTCTATTCTCTCTGCCTGTCTTCCACTTCTATCTCACAACTTCTGAAGTGCCCAGTCCTAAGAGAATTTATTCTCTTAGTAAATTTGTAAGAAATTATCCTTTCTGGATTTTTGTCTTGCCCAGCTTTTCTGTCTAACTGAAGAGTCCAGCATCACTTCTCTGCATGTAGAATTACTTGCTTATATTTTTCTTGAGCATTCTGACCAGAGCTGCAAGGAGACTGGCCTTGCACGGCAATGAACACAGGAGATGATACAGTCCCAGCCTAAATGAAGTGAGGTGGGGACTTGTACTACTTCAGAAATTATGGTCATCCACCAGCACAGGCTGTGCTAAGTCAGCCCAGAACCTCTCATGCGAACTCAGCAAACCCACCCAGGAGAGAGGGGCTCTGGTGATGCAGTCTGTGCACATTTTCTAACTGCAGGAGTTCATGTCTGTGGAGTTCTGCTGGCAGGGATGGTAGGGAAAGGGCATGGGAGCAGTTAGTGCTGCTGTTCAGCGTGGAGAGGAGACACACACATCATCCTCCTGATGAGTGAAAACGAGATTTCAGTTGTCATGAAGTTTTTCAGGCTGAATTGCCTGAAATTGCCTCACTGATTACTCTGTGAGGTTGCTGAACTTGCAGGGTTCAGGGTTTGATACACATTACCCAAAAGGCCCTCCTGTCTTCACTCACCATAACCAAAAATCTGAGTGCATAAACACTCAGAAGAGCCACATTGCTTCATTTATCAATCCTTTTATGAAATTTTCCCTGTCCCCAACTGACTTCTTACTCATTCTTCATCTGCCTTTTTCATTTCAACATGCTTGTATCCAAGTTACCTAGAAAGGCTTTGCTGCAAAGTAATGTAAACCACCTGTTTCAGGCCAGCATATTGGAAAAGCCTTTTCTTAGGCTGTCAAGAAGCTCAGGTTTGGCTTACAATTTACATAGAAGCACATATACAGTAAGTCAATGGCTTTGGTTTAAGGGGCTTTATAGAATTTATAGAATTCAAGCTCCAGATCAGGCTTTTACATCACTTTTAACAACTATTACATGGAACAGTGTGGGAGACTCTGCTCCAAGTTTTAATTATTCATATGGCAAAGACTGTGGCCTAAATACTGGTGTGATCTCTGCCTCTCCTTGTAATGCTATGTAGAATAATAAACACACATTTACAGGGTTATATTTTTCCAGATGAAGGGTTATATTTTTCCAGAAGAAAAACTTGTAAGTGCTGAAGTACAAACATTGAAGTGTCAGTGAAACTGATAATCCAAACAGTATAATGGGTTTTTTGGATGCTG